AGCCCACATTGCCCACCCTCCGTGTCCCCCTTCCGCGATTGCGCCCGTACCGCAGTACACCCGCAATGAAGTTCCTCCCCACCCTCCTCCCCGCCCTCCTCGCCGTCACAAGCGCAGCAGGCTACAAGCTCACCCCCCGCCGCATCCCCACGCCGCACCCGCACGCACCCTCGCACCACCACCACCCCTCGCCAGCCCGGCACAAAACCTGCGTCCTCCCCCCGCTCCCCTCCGGCCACGACGCCGCGCCCTCCATCCTCGCCGCCGCCAAGCGCTGCAACAACGGCGGCACGATCCTCTTCCCGGCAGGCCGCACCTACACCGTCGGCACCGCGCTGGACCTAACCTGGCTGCACCACGTGGACCTCGACCTGCAGGGCACGCTCGAATTCTCCGACGACGTCGACTACTGGAAGGACAATGCGTTCCCGCTGACGTTCCAGAACGCCACGACGTTTTGGATGCTCGGCGGGGAGGACGTGAATTTGTACGGCGGTGGCACGCTGGATGGGAATGGGCAGGTGTGGTATGATGCGTATGCGGAGGATATTTACATTTTGAGGCCGATATTGATGGGGATTGTGGGCCTGAAGGGGGGGAGCGTGAGTGGGATTCATATGCGGTACAGCCCGCAGTGGTTTAATATCGTTGTGAATAGCAGCAGTGTGGTGTATGATAACTTGAGTATTTCGGGCGGGAGTGTGAGTGAGAATACCGCGAAGAATACGGATGGCTGGGATACGTACCGCAGCGACGCGATCACGATCCAGAACAGCGTCATCGACAACGGCGACGGTAAGCCCCTACCTCCACCTTCCTCCCGATATGTGCGCTGCTGACCCTCGCAGACTGCGTCTCCTTCAAACCAAACTCCACCAACATCGTGGTGCAAAACCTGGACTGCACCGGCTCGCACGGCATCTCCGTCGGCAGCCTCGGGCAGTACCCCGGGACTTTCGACATCGTCGAAAACATCCTCGTCACAAACACCGTGATGGCGAACGCCAGCAGCGGGGCGCGCATCAAGGTGTGGCCCGGCGCGTCTGCGGCACTGTCGGGCGATCTGCAGGGCGGCGGCGGCAGCGGCCGTGTGCGGAATATCACGTACGACGGCTTCCGGAGCACGAATATCGACTATGTCCTCGAGGTCACGCAGTGCTATGGACAGCGGAACCAGACGCTGTGTGATCTGTACCCGAGCAAGCTGACGATTGAGGATGTGTGGTTTAAGGATTTTACCGGGACGAGTAGTGCGAAGTATGATCCGAAGGCGGGGATCTTGACGTGTAGCAGCCCCGATGTGTGTGGGCGGATTCATGCGAGCGGGATCAACATTACGACGCCGAGTGGGAAGCCGCCGGTGTTTGATTGCACGAATGTAAGTGCACCCGTTCCGTGTGGTAGAAATGCAGGGCTGATGTGATGTGCATAGGTCGATGAGAGTTTGCTGGATTTGACGTGCAACACGTTGTAAAAAGCAGTGGTGGTGGTGGTGGAGTCGATGTCGTAACTAGCTAGCCTGCAATAATGTACAATACATTGGTTGGAATGAGCTTGATGCCATGAATGAAATAAATTAGCTGTGCTACTTCGATTGTGATCAAGACTTCGTTGGACGGCTGAGCTACGTCCGAATTTACTACAGTCAAGATTCGAAAGAAGGCTTCAGCCACGTGGCGCTAGACCCCTCCTGCATGCAATATCCAAATGTCTTCAGATGAAAAACGAAATGAAAAATTTCGGAGATGAAAGCATGATCGTCCTTGTTGCAGCAATGTGAAGCGTCACGCTATGAGAAATTCAGCCATGTTGGCCCTGAAGCCTCGGGAAATGTGTGTAAAGAGAAGAAGCAGCTCATGCTCGCTGTCGGTGGTGGAGGTAGAAGAACAGCTGAACTGCGACATGCTACAGGCTCAGCAGTTCCGAGATCAATGCTAATAACGTGTTTGCCATGAAAGTCTGATCGCGACGTATTTGTTGCAGGTACGAAGTTGTCAAGTGTACAGGAAGAGAAAGCGAAGAGCAGAATAAGCCGAGCCCACATAGCCAAGCCCGACCGATCGTTGATGCAGGTCCCATTGGAATTGTCAATTCTGCACCTGCTATCATTCGGTTTTGGGAGTCGGCTCAGTTCGCCAATGGGATTTAATCCGACTTGTTCTCCTCTTCTCTTCTCTTCCTGTACACTGCAGTTGAAATAATGAACGCAACATACGCTCAACACGGTATCTGAACCACTGAGCCCGAGTTGATAGAATATTAACTGCTTCGTGATCATGTATAACTCCGGCAAGGACAGTTCACCTAACTTTGGTGTTTTAGGTTCTCATGACAAGACTTCACAGATGGAAGCACGCTGCTTCATCGCTTCATCACTGACAAATCTTGGGAGCGAGTTGCTTCCTCATCGCCGATAGAAGCTTTCGTGCTGCTTTATGGTCTTATTCATCACCGGCAGCTGTCACGAGCTGCTTCTTCATTTTATTACTGAAAACTCTTACGCTACTTCGTTTCTTCGACACTGAAAACAAGTCTTACGAGCTGCTTCATCGATTTCTATCACTGGAAGCTGTTTTCACCTCTTCACTGACAGATGCTTCAGCGATTGTTGATAACGAATCACTGTGAGTTTTCACGAACCGTTTCTTCCCGTTATCACCAAAAGCTCTTCGCTACTTCATCTCTTCATCGCTAACAGCGAGTCTCAAGAACCTCCGCCTCATCGAGTCTTCACCATTGACATCCATCTCTTGATACATTACATCGCCCGAGGCTTCATGCCAGCATGGAAGAACTACAGACATGGCCTGGTGTTACATACTCACGTCAGAATGCCAGTCCCCTTATCCAAGTGGAATTAATTGGTTCTTCGTTAAGCATTTTCGAGAAATGCAGTATCGACGCATACAGTGTGGTAAAATCGATTGGCTATGTTGCACGAACGGAATCTAGTTTTCCTTGGCTTAAGATGCACAGCAAAAAAACTACGAAAGACAAGTTGCATGAAACTTTCGCCAGACACAATTACTCGGGAAGCATTTACCAATCGGCTGTCAAATCGATTAATCGGTTGAAGAGACATCGGCAGCGACGGAACCGTCTCCCCGCTACTGGCAAGCCCTCCATATTCATTGCAGTAACAATCCACGACTTTCACGGCATCCACAGTGAATCAAATATGGCGAATAATCCGTATTTTCTATAAAAATACAGATTATTGCCATTTCGTCCCAGCTTTAACCGACGTCCTCTAATCCCTCATCAGGCTATCCACTTTGGGCAAGTCGCCACCGCCTGCCCGTTCCAGAAACGGAAACCTTGGCGCGGGGAGGTGTTCTCCGCACCGACGCACAGCTCCAAAGCTCCCCGCTATTTCCCCGCAACGCTCGAATGTCTTTGCTCGCGTCCCCCAAGTTGGCGAAGAATTATTCTCCACCGCCATCTTCTCCATCGCCATCGCCTCCACCGCCTCCTCCTCCACCGCCGTCGTCGCCTACGAACGTCTAAACTTCATCCCCCCAGCTCCCCTCCCATCACCATGTCGTCTCCCGAGCCAACAACCGTCACAGCCTCGGTGCTGCACGCCGCAAAGGACCTGCGCGTCGTCCCCGTCTCCCTCCCCCCGCCACCCGCCGACGAGCTCCAAATCGCCATCCGCTCCACAACCCTCTGCGGCTCGGACCTGCACTACTACAACCACTACCGCAACGGCGACATCCTCGTCACGTCCCCGCTCGCCCTCGGCCACGAGTCCTCGGGCATCGTCACCGCCGTCGGCGCCTCCGCCGCCGCCGCCGGCTGGGTCGTCGGCGACCGCGTCGCGCTCGAAGTCGGCCTCCCCTGCGAGTCCTGCCCGCGCTGCCTCGAGGGCCGCTACAACATCTGCGCCGGCATGCGCTTCCGCTCCTCCGCCAAAGCAGTCCCGCACTTCTGGGGCACCCTCCAGCAGCGCATCAACCACCCCGCAAAATGGTGCCACAAGCTCCCCGCCGCCATGCCCTTCGCGCTCGCCTCGCTGCTCGAGCCCCTCTCCGTCGCGCTGCACACCATCCGCCGCTCCGCCATCCAGCCCGGCCAGACCGTCCTCGTCGTCGGCGCCGGCGCCGTCGGGCTGCTCGTCGCCGCCGCCGCGCACCTCGCCGGCGCCTCCCGCGTGCTCATCGCCGACATCAACGCCGGCCGCGTCGCCTTCGCCGTCGAGCAGGGCTGGGCGACCCACGCGTACACCGTCCCCATGACCCCGCGCCCCGAGCAGCCGCCCTCCGTCGCCGACAAGCTCGCCGCGTCCAAGGCCTCCGCCGACGCCATGTGCGCCGCCGTCAACGCCCCCGCCGGCGTCGACATCGTGTTCGAGTGCACCGGCGTCGAGCCGTGCGTGCAGGCGTCGATCTACGCCGCGCGCGCGGGCGGCACGGTGATGCTCGTCGGGATGGGCACGCCGGTGCAGACGCTGCCCATCAGCGCTGCGGCGCTGCGGGAGGTGGATATCCGCGGCGGCTTCAGATATGCGAACTGTTATCCGCAGGGCGTGGAGCTGATTGCGAGTGGCCGCTTGCAGGGCTTGGAGAAGCTGGTGACGCAGCGGTTTTTTGGGATGGAGGCGGTGGGCGAGGCGTTTGAGATGGCGGGACGGCAGACGGATGAGCAGGGGCGGCTGGTGATTAAGGTGGAGGTTGTGTTTGGCGAGGAGGAGGCGAAGTTGTAGTAATGTTTGCTTTGGGTGTTTGGGGTTAATTAGATGGATGTATACCACGAGAGAGAGAGAGAGAGATCGGATAGCTGCATGTCCGTAGTTGCCGTTGCAAAAATATCATAGCGCTGTTTTCCACATTGAATTATGGGTCCACACTTAGTGTCTCGAGTCTCTTTGTAAATTTCACATGATACTATTCTATGACCCACACTTTGGCCTCCATGTCACCAACTCACCATCTTACCATCTAATGCACCGTGGTCCTTGACTGTTGTTATTCCTAAAAATGGTGACCCGGATATATCCAGTCAGAGTGTCCGAGTGGTTAAGGAGTTAGACTTGAACGTGCCCCGGCAACAGATATCTAATGGCTTCGGCCGCGCAGGTTCAAATCCTGTCTCTGACGATATTATTTTGTCCCAGCTGTGTGGGGTGCGCCAAGTTTTTGCTACACTAGCGGATGGCGTGGGACGAAATTCTTCTAATGACGGGTCGGCTGGCGTTGCTTTGGATCCTTGGGGGTTTTTAGTCATGGTTCGCTGCTTTTTGACTTGTCATTAAAAGCTGTTACGCTGCTTCAAATCTTTATTCATGTGGTCAGAGACTTCAAGGCTAGGATGGCGAATACTCAACTCTTGCTTTGTTAGAAGATAATACAATAACTTTGCCTGTTTCCCAGAGTCCAATGCAAATGTGCTGTTGACGGTCCCTTACTCATTACAAGATACGAAGAGGATATTTCAGCCCCTTTCGTATTGTGCTATCTCTTGCCGGTGCAGTATCGAAGGGGGTGTTGGGTTGTGAGTTCTGCACTCTGTATCACTCGGATTTGACCATGTCGGCTCTGGTCTCCTGGTCTCACGGGTTAAATCTCACGGGCCCCTTGTTTCTGCTCTGCTCTGCTCTTCGCCTTTTCGTTCTTACTCACTTGAACCTGCAACCAACAGGATCGTCCGTTCATATCCTATCAGCACCAACCTCGGAACTGCGCAGCTTGGGAGCGGATGTTGATGTTGCTTCTCTGGTGCACGCATCGGAGTTTATAAGATCATGGCTCTCACACGTTCGCAATCCCCTGCTCTACCGGTGACGGCTCGGCTAACTTTCTTGCGACGGATTCTTTCACGAAATGACGGCTTTCACGGACCTCGCTGCTTCGTTTCTTTTGGACTGAACGCCCTAAAGAGCTGCTTCATCTACTCTTCATCACTGGAAGGTTCCAAGCTACTTGGTATCTTCGTCACCGATAGCTCTCGAGTTGCTTCTTCACTTTATCGAAGCTCAAAGGTGGCCAACAATGGATTATTTCCCTTAGCACAGATTGAATAGGAGTGAGCATATCCACCTGTTTCACCTGTGACCAAGATACTGACAGATCGTTCCTCGAGACTGACGTCTTTCATATTTTAGCTGCCAACTTGATCGCCCGCTCAAACTCTGGAAAAGGATCTTCGCCAGCACACTGCGTCTGATGTTTTACTGAAATTTGGCAAGTGCACTCGTCAAAGATCTGGTCTTTAGTTGTGTAATTTGTTGCTAATTGACTGCCATAATATACAGATACAAAAATTATTATTCTTCTTGACGACATGGTTACCTAGCGCCACCATCTACATCAACCAATGCTGTATGTACAAGATATAGGGATATGGTGATGGAACACACGCTAGCATGAAAAGCCACCAACAGTAATTTTTGGTGAGGGTTTGTATGAGAGCAACAGCATGCTGGTCGATCTGTGGCTTATGCGTTCCATCACTTAACCCCTATAACTTGTACTGTGTTCCCGGCTCCCCGGCTCTGCAGGCAGTATCACCCCGCTTTGTCTCTCCCAGGAAGTACGAACCTGGCCCTGCAGAGCATGACGTCGCCCAGCCCTCTCTACAGGAGGAGGACCTCGTCTCCACCCTCAACTCCGCGATGGCCCCCAACATCAACCAATTCCCCACACGCCAATGCCCGGCAAGGAAATTTACGGAGTACTATAAACCGAGAGCCCTTCCACTACAGGATGGCAGCAGGACTGCGATGTCTACCACCATGATCGAACTTTCTGAGCTCCCTACTGTTGCTGAGACGACCGACGCTGAACACGGCCATGAATTCGATGCGCTACCGCCGGCCGACACGGGCAAGCAGGCCTGGCTGTTTCTAGCGGGAGCGTTTATGATTGAAGCATTAGTCTGGGGTACATGCCTTTAAACCCCGCTACCGTAACCCACTAACGCCCCCGCAGGCTTCCCGTTCTCCTTCGGCGTATACCAAAGCTACTATAGCACGCACCCACAATTTTCCGGCGCCCGCGGGATCGCTGCAATCGGCACCACCGCGTCGGGAATAATGTACCTCTCAGCCCCGCTCACGGCCTACATCCTCACGAAATACCCACCGCTCCGCCGTCGCGCCGCAACCTTCGGGCTCGCCATCTGCACGCTCTCCCTCATCGCGGCCTCATTCGCCACCTCCGTCGCCGCGCTCCTCGCAACCCAGGGCGTCCTCTACGCCCTCGGCGGCTCGCTCCTGTACACCCCGGTGATCCTGTACGTCGACGAATGGTTCATATCGCGCAAAGGGCTGGCCTACGGCGTAATGTGGGCCGGCACGGGCGCATCAGGCCTCGTGCTCCCTCTCGCCACCACCGCCGGCCTCGCCCGCTACGGCTACGCCACCGTCCACCGCTTCAGCGCGCTCACGCTCCTCCTCCTCGCCGCCCCACTGCTGCACTACGTCCGTCCGCGCCTCCCTATAAACACTGGCGCCTCCGCACCCCCCCGCGTCTCCACCGCCTTCCTGCGCTCCCGCACATTCTGGCTCCTACAAGCCGGCAACATCGTCGAAGGCCTCGGCTTCTTCCTCCCCGCGCTATATCTCCCCTCCTACGCCGAATCCCTCGGCCTCAGCGCCACCGCCGGCTCCGCGCTCGTCAGCATCCTCAACGCCGCTTCCGTCGCCGGCCAGGTCGCGCTAGGCGCACTATCGGACCGTGTCCACATCTCGCGGGTCGTAGCCGTGTCGTGCGTCGGCGCCGCGGGGAGCGTGTTTCTGGCGTGGGGACTCGCGGGAGGGTCGCTGGGAGGGTTGGTCGCGTTCTGTGTCGCGTATGGGTTCTTTGCGGGCGGGTTTACAAGTACGTATGCGGGCACGTGTCGCGAGGTTACACAGCTGTGTCCCGGGACGCAGAGCGCGACGGTGTTTGGGATGCTTGCGGCCGGGAGGGGCGTGGGGAATGTGGTGTGTGGGCCGGTTAGTGAGGGGTTGTTGGCGGCGTGGAAATCGAAGGGAGGGAGTGGGACGGGGGCGGTGGGGGCGTATGGAACGCAGTTTGCGGGGTTGGTGGTTGTGACGGGGGTTACGGCTGTGGTTGGAGGGTTGGGAGGGTTGGCGAAGGAGGAGAGGAGGAGGGAGAGCGAGTGATGGAGGGTGTAGTGACGGTAGTGGTGGACTAGAAAAAGGCGTAGGATCTACTTGTAGCCGGTAAAAACTATATCAAATGACGTAGAATCTGTCGGAATGGTACCTCATGGTTCTCAACTGCCATTTTCTACAGAGTGCTTCCACTTCTACTTACACACAACATCAAATCCTTCCTCAGCCCAATTCCTACCATCCCACTTGCCCCCATCTTTGACAAACTGTTGCAGGTAATAGTACACAAGCTAATTACAATTTACCCCAGTAGATTGGCCATGCTCGGGGACGCCCTTGCCAATCATCCTTACATCTATCCTTCTTCTATTGGCCTCCATCATTCTAATCAGTTTCCTGCCGATCTCTAGCCCTCTCCCAATGACGTCAGGCGCAACTTTCCCTCATCTGTTACATAGTCGGGGTCTACTAGTAGATATGACCTTTCGATTCCTGGAGATGGATAGGAAGCTGTGCCACGCCATTTGGCCGTGGGTTTCAAAATGCCACATCGATCCGGAAAGCCACAGGATGGTTCCGGTTGTCTTGAGATGTTTGTAGGCTGTTGTCAAGCTGTGACATCTATCCATATCTTGATCATGGTAGGCCACATAGTCCGCCGACACATTTCATCTGACAAGTGAACGGTGGTTGCGCTTGTTTGGGTGCCGTTGTGGGCTGCGTCGTTGAAACTGATGACATGTGGGTACACGAGTCATCTTGGTAGGTTGATGGATGCTGGGTAATGATGAATGTCCAGGGTGGATGAAAATGTGTTGATGTTGTGTTCTTGTTCTTGTGACAACATCTCAGAGGCCTAGGGTACAGCGAGACGACACGCAAGCACGGGAGGGAGATGTGTGTGGTAGTTGTCACAGCGTTTATCGTGGCCGCAGTGGCGACGTGATTCATAGCGGGGGGCGGTTCGTGTGAACTACTAATGCGTGTTGCGATGTGGGAGAGCGAGCGGACGGGGTGAGGGGGATATGGCGGATTTGATCGTGGGTAATTAAAGCTTTGGCACGTTGAAGTTGGCATTGAACGGGTGTGTTACAGGTACGCAGAAACGGAGTCTTGTAGAACTCCACCGTTTTTTCTTGAAGGTATAGTTGCAAGTAGCGTGGCCTGATCTTCCAGCATTTCGAGTGTCAAAGCCGTCATTAAAAGTGACTATTGAACGTCACAACCACCCCACACCACCATGCCGCCGGATGGAAACTTGGGGATAATTGCAGTCGCGAGGGAGGATGCTGGAGGAGTTCGGAGGGGAGCCGGAATGAGGGAGGTGGGTGTGGTTGCCACAGTGACGCCCCTTGTGAGCGCAGCGGCGACAGGACGCTGATTATCTTGCCACCCGCCTTCCCACTGTCCTCTGCATGAAAGCCTCCTCCGAAGGCTGAAAATGGGGCGCATCCACTGTTCGCCGTGATAGTAACCAGCATCCGGCATCTACGTGATATCAAGTAAACTCTTTCACCATCGGTCCGTTATTTTCTGCATAATCAATCACGGATTACACGTACCTACGAACAGTTTCTTTTCCTCCAGCTGTTTGCCAGTAATTTTATAACTTCCGGATCGCGAACTTTGAATTTCTTAGTTGCAGTCCCGTGGGCCGTCTTCTCCATCTTCAACAATAGTTTTCGCTTTTTGTAGTTTAAATTAGCATGTGACTGTTTGTCGATTCGATTCCACTGTTGAAGCACACATTCGTGTGTAAAACAGTCAATGCTGTTGCGAACTCAATGGGTCTTCCCACTGTTCATAATCACCGAAACGACCCTCAGGCTGAAACTTGGACGCATTGTTTGCCGTGACAAACAGTAACTAGCTACTGGCATCTACCTCTCAAACAGAGGCCGTCCAGGACGTGAGCTATCGAAGCCTGGCCCCTGGGACTGGTTGATGGCCCTACCATGGATTCGGGACGCGCAGATTGGTTGAACGTCTGTGCGGGCTGAGAATTTGGTACCTTTGAAATTTTGTGGCAATGTGGAGGCG